TCCTTTCAATTTCAGTTCTTAAATTCATCAATCAATCCTTTCATTTATGTGATAGGCCTGCATTTAAAATAAACATTTACCATAAATTAAAGGTATCTTATATTATTAGATATATTATAATTAAACATGCTTTAGTTAAGGAGTTATTAATACTTCGAGTGCAAAATGATGAAATAAAACCTTGATAAAAATGCACTTTTAAGTACTAATCATTATTCATCATGTAGAAGAAGAAATAATAAGGAGATTGAGTTACTTTTAAGGCTAAAGTGAAACCTTTCATAGACTTTATCAATAATTGGTGGGATGAACAACTTTATAGAAATATTTATTCTTTCCTTTTCCTTTGTCTCTATCCTGGGCTGCTTTTAATTATCTCCTACGCTTCTTTCAGGTTATGATAGGATTCCCAATATGTTTGGGGAATCTAAGTGAAGATATCGCTCAGGACGACGCCTTTTTAGACGGCTTGTTTGGTCTTGCCCTTGATAGTCCGCAGACTTCAATCCCTGTGAACTTAGTTAAAAAAACTGGCGCTGTCGAGGTTCCAGACTCAGGCGAGGTAGGAATTGAGTTACATCTTAGCTGGTAGTGATGATTTCTCCTCGGATTACTGAATTCCTATCTCGGAACAAGTAGGAGATCCATATTTCAATTTAGATGATAGGGTACCGGTTGGCTCTTTTATCTTAGCACTGAGACCATCTGCTAATTGAATCCTTGATTTCAATATGATGCAAATATAATGGATAAACATATGAGTACCATTTCTAGACTTCTAGATGTTCTTGAGAAGTATGCATATGGAAATCTACCATTATAAAGTAAGATTACAAGTGAGATGAAGTTGTTTAGGAATGCTAAACATAACTTTGGTCAAGTGTCCACAATAAATAATCGCACCCTTATACCTCCAGGTATATAATTTTTATATTTAAAAATATTATTTGACGTAGTCTCCTTTTACTTATTATTTTTTTGGATAGATGAATGGTGGATGACATATGGAACTAGCGTTCCAAATCTACAATAGTTGGCTATACGAGTGTTAAGTTAAACTTGAAGTTCTTTGGGATGTGAGAGAAATTACAGTATGTTTGAACATATTCATTCTAAGAAGAGAAATAGATTGGAGCACCAAAGGCTTAATGATCTTGTTTACGTCCACTACAATCTAAGATTGAAACAAAAGTATTTTTCTGTTCTCTAATTCCTTATATGTTATTTTATCTTGTTTGGTAACATTATTAATACTTATATTATGTTTATCTTCACTTTTAATATATAGGAATTATTGGAAAAGACAAAATTATGATCCAATTAATATTGAGACAATTTGTGACATTGAAAATTGGGTAGTAAAAGATGACCTGTCAATCTTGACAATTGGAGAAGCAGAAAGTTTTCACCAAGCTCTATCAACTATGGCCATACAAGATACTTTAGATGATGGTAATTAATGATTGATTATGTAGTGATAAATATTATTTAAAATAAAGTTTTGTTTAACATATAATATTTATTTATTAATTGTGTTTGAAATGTAAATGTCATAAATGTTAATGATATTGAAGATGATTGTGACGATGAAGTTTCAAAGGAGCATGCTGATGATTTATTAGGTGTTGATGAGATTGACTCAATTCCATCGACATTTGATCCAAATTTTGCTCCTATAGACATAAAAAAACTTAATGTGTTTATTCAACAAATGTGAATATGTTGTTGATTTAGAATTTATGTTATTAGATGTTTTGCTTTAAATATTTTAGAATTTATATTTGGTTTGTGTTTTGGATATTGAATTAAATTTATGTTGTTGGTTTATAATTTAAATTTAGTTTATGTAAGTATTGCATCATAACTAGTTTTATGTTTTTTTTATAAATGTTTTTTATTTGGGTTGACCCAAGTCAACCCATCTAATCTGTGACCTGATCACTTGACCGGGTTGATAATCAGGTTAAGTTTCAAAACTATACATAGAACAAACTTTTTCAAAAGACAAATCACCATTTTCATTAAAAAATCAGGAGAAACATTTTACGAATATTGGGATAGATATCGAGATTTGCTTAATACTTGCCCTCGTCATGGTTTTGAAACATGGAGATTGGTTTTATATTTTTATAAAGGGTTAACACCTACAGATAGACAAATAGTTGAATGATATGCAATGAAACTTTTGAAGATAAAGAACCTAATGAAGCAATGGAGTACTTAGACTTTTTAGCTAAAAATGCTCAAAATTGGGATACCGCAGGTACTTATGAGGCACCGAGTAAAACTCAACTTCATATATTTAGTTGAGGTATGTGTAATCTTAGGAAAGATCATGACCTCCAAGCCAAGTTTGCTTATTTAGCTAAAAAAGTCGAGGCACTAGAATTGAAAAAGAGTGGTCAATTAAAATCTGTTCAAGACATTGTGTGTCAAATCTATGAAACAATGAACATTCAAGCAATGATTGTCCAACCTTGCCTTGTTTTAAGGAATGTCTCCATGAACAATCCTATTCTTTAAATAGTTTCCAGAGGCCACGATCAACTTAATAATGATTCACAAGAAGTAGATCTTATTGATGAATTAGTTTATGATCAACTTGAATCTACCGTGAGTAAAACAAAGTTTGATGAATCAAAAGATGTGCAAATGATTTATTCTCAAGAAGAAATCACATATGAAAAAGGCACCAAAAATATTGATGCAGATCTTTTATCAAGAGTGACAACAGATTTGACATTTGACATCACACCAATCGATTATTACTTGCCTAATGAATCCTTACTTTCTCTTAGTCTAATACCTTGGTATGATAAAAATATCTTTTGCTTCAGGAGATTTGCTAGCTCATTTAAGTACCCAAGATAAATAAAAGTTTTTGAAGGAAGTGAAGAACTTTTATTGGGATGACCCTAACTTATTCAAACATTGTCTTGATCAAATATTTCAAAGATGCATTCCTGACAATGAGGTAATTAGTGTCATTAAACTTTGTTATTCTAAAGCATGTGGGAGTCATTTCTCGTAAAAAAGACAATTGCAGAAATCTTTCAAAATGGATTTTATTGGCCCACCATATTCAAGGACACACATGCATTCTGTAAAACTTGTGAGAATTGTTAAAAAGTTGCTACTGGTTAAAAAGTTTTGCTTTATAATTCTCGACTCCATTTATTTCCTGGAGAACTAAGATCAAGATAGAGCAGTCCATTTATTGAGAAACATTTGTATCCTTATGGAGCCTTTGATATTGAGAATCCAAATAATGATAATATTTTTAAGGTAAATGAACGTTTGAAAGCTTACTTTGATAATTTTCCTAGTGAAAATGAATCCATTGGTTTGAATGATCTTATAGATAAAGGTTGATTATTTTGTTTTTCTCACATTGTTTTTGTTTTTTTTTTAATTGTGGCTCTTGGTTTGCTAGTCTTTCTCACCTCGGTTAAATGACGGATAACGGTACTACGTGACTCTTAAGTCGGTTCTTTTAGTTTCCCATGATAATTGATATCTATATATATATTTGTTCAATTCTTTGTTCCTTTTTTTATTTGCATCCACTATTCATCTTAAAAAATAGACACCACTCTTGAAAAATTATAAAAGTATTTCTCATTTTGCCTCAAAATGCAATTATAAAAATTTACCGAGTTAGGTGTGCAAGATTGAGGTTGTTAATGAATCATGAAATTCCTGAAGAGATTCGCTGGCTAATTAAAGCAAGGTCCGATTATCAAGTGAGTCCTCCAATTCCTTCATTTCACACATACCTAGGACAGGTAAAAACACTTTTGTAAAGAAACATCGTACAAAAATGCAAAGAAAAGTTTGTCATCGATGTGCCAGATGGACTTATGATGCACAATGTCGTTCTTTAGGAATGGTATCTGTAAATCATGAAGATAAAATACAATTCATTAAGGATGACCTGAGTAAGGAGTCTTTAAATAATTTTCTACTAACTCTTGAGACGCATCCTAGTGGAGATGTGCATCGTGCAATTCATGATTTATGGCCCTATTTTCATAAAAAAAACATGCTCGATATAGTCTTGGGAATCTGACTAAAAAAGACCATGTTTGCTAGTTTTTAAGAAAACTAGTTAAGAAGCCTATCCCCAACCTATAAAGGGCGTTTAAGTCGTTCTTGAACGTAAAACTAAGGAAAGGTATGAGCCATAATCACAACTATGATTTTAGTCTTAGTTTGTAAAAAATTTTATGTTTTAGTTTTATTAATAAAGCATAATATTTGTATTTTGTTGTTTCTTATATTTGTTTAAGTGTGTTTCAGTTTCATTAGTGGATGTCGTTTCAGGTGATGTCTTCTATACTTAGAACATTGAGGACAATGTCTCATTTTGGTTCGGGAAAAAGGATAGTAGTTCATATTAAAAAAAAAAAAACTAACTGTGTTTTCTATTTCATAAACCATTTACAAAATTGTTATTACTAAGATGGCAGAGTAAGGAGGAATTTTATTGACTCTTGAGATGTATCTTGGTAAATATTTTTTAATAGTTATTTACAATATTTATAACAAGGTCTATTAAAATAATTGTTGAAATATTTAGGTTTACAAACTCTCATATTGTTATCATTTAAAAATAATTCTTGAAATATTTAGGTTTACAAACTCTCGTATTGTTATCATTTAATTCTTCTCATATACTTATTTAATATGTATCTTAAACCTTAATTTTCACATATACACTTTCACATATGATTATAGGTTGCATATTAGATTATTATATTATTTATGTTCTTTTGTTAAAGGTAACAACTAAGGGAAAGGGATTGTATATAATTAAAAAACAAAAACATTAAAACCAAAGGGTTGTTTCAACACCTAATACCCTAAAGTCAACTGACTTGGGAGCTATTGGCCCAACACTTGTTACTTGGGTTGAGAAGAAAAACTTAAGGAATCAAACATTGCACTAACTACGTATCAGTATCTACAACCCGAGTTACTAAGCTCGTAGTGGCATCTTAACACCTAATGCCCTAAGACCAACTACTCTAGGAGTTGTTAGCCAAAAGCTCATTATATGGGTTAAAGATGCATTGTGTTTTAAGTTATATGTATATATATTTAAAAAAACAAAAAAACAAAAAAAATCTCAACCCAAGAAAGTTAACCTTAAACATTAGAACTATGTGTTGATATATTGAGCGCGAAATAAAGGTTTATTAATATGTTGTTTAAGAGGTATTGAGTAGATATATAAATTTAATCAGAGTTTATTTATCCGGATAAATTAATAAAAGTTGAATGAAGAAGTCTGAATCTGTCTACAACTTTCATGTTTTCAAGTGGTTCCAATTTTAACATTATCAATGACGTTTTGGGCAGAAAAAAGAAGATAAGGATTGTCACCAAGTCAAGAGTTGGCCACCCACTCATCAATTAGTCATCAAATCAATAGTTCCTAATTTTTATATCAAACAAGTATAGTATAAACTCTTATTATTGAATTGGAAACCACACACAAAGGAGGTTCCAATCAGATTATATATTGTTAACATGATTACATTAGTCATCTTATTCAATTAATGCTAATACTTTTTTAGTCGTGTCAATATTCATGATTATAACTTATGTTAACAACAAATTAAGTTTCTTTCATATCATAGCATTATGGATTTATTATTATTGATAAATTCGAACTTCTAATAGTATAAGAATAAGTATAGTGTAAACTCAATACACCTAGTGTTATACAACATAAATTTAGATTAATCATTTAACAAGTGAAGTATTAAAAGTGAACAAGATAACAAATACAAAACATGTTAATATCAAACATTAAAGTCCATATTAAGTTTACACTATACTTATTCTTACAACATTAGTGTAACCTTTTCACCTTGAAATAATAAACTTAGCTAGACATAATGAAAGAAAGAAAAATAAATAAACAAAACAAGAACATAAACTTAAGGAAATGAAATGAAAAGCATAAGCAAGAGACTAATAAAAGCAAAACTTAAGCATTACAAAA